CATATATATAATAAACAGAATATATATATATATATATATATATATATGAACCAAGACGTTCCCTAAATAAAGAACGTTTGGAGGATAACTACACCTCCAAAGAACCACGTCACCCTTACATATCAAAATCATGATTCTGACAAATATCGCATTGTAAGTTCGAATGGAATCTTATACTGTCTAAAGTGCATCGTTGCTGAACGCTTCAAATGTGAGCATATCGAATCAATATACATAATTTGCGGTATAGTGAATCACAGATCAACATTGAACACATACCCAACAAATGCAAGGAGACTAGACTCTGGTTGCTCAGCTGTGCATCGGAGAGATGCTTCAATTCCTCTGAAGCCTTTGCTGCCGCCACAGTCCAGCACTTGCTGACAGGCACACTCAGCAACACTTCACCTGCAATCACATCCCTCTCCGTCGCCAGTCCTCTGCCCGTTGTGGTAAAGTCACGTTCAACAACACACTTCTCAGTACACTCCACATCCATTGTGAGAATATGTTAACACATATGTATTCTGGCTACTAGCTGCACGCGTGGTGCTGTGTAATATCGCCACACGATAGTTGTGATACATTTTCAGAAATCGAAGAAACCGCCAAATTTTCATATGACTAAATATGAATGTATGTTCGTTTGCCTGCATGTATGTTGATCTATTTTTAGAATATTTTAAACCGCCAAATTCCAATATGACTAAATATGTAAAAGTATTTATATGGTTGTACGTATTTTTTATATAAACATATGACTGTATGACTGTATTTATAAATGTCTAACTGTATGTCTGATTGTATGTCTGACCGTACATATAACTGTATGCATGAATGTATGTAGGACTGAATGTATCTATGACTGTATTCATGTATGACTATGCATGAAATGACAAAGTACTTCTTGTGCTGAACATTTGACAGCAAAAGGATTAGAACAGCTCCAGAAGCTCTTCCACTTTTTACCCCTGATTCCGGTACCAGTGGTGTATCTGAAGTAAATAATATGATTCAGATTGCAGATAGCTTCTTGCTTTTTAGTCTTTAGTGGTTTGTAATTGTAGCGACTGTAGGTATATAGTGTGGCTACAGTCTATACAGTTTTGTTCAGTGGGTAAAATTCATTTCTAGTCCCACTGTTGAACCATGGACACAGTGTCGTCGGATGTGCAGCCCGAAACCATGTAAAGAATTTTGCTCACTCTAAATCGGATTTGATAAAAACATATACGTCAAACGCATATTCGATCCAGTAATAAATAAAATGAGAAGATTTATAGGGTTCTTCCTTTTCGGAATAATCTACACAATGACCCTGAATGATCCTAACAATACGTCAAGTGGAGAGCTACGAGTGACCGCAACCGAGTACTACAAAGCTAACGCCTTTGGAAACTGACTCTAGGTGTAATTTCTGCAGCACTTGGCAATGGTGGTGTCTCGCCCGTCCAGAGTTTAATAGTCTTCCCCCCCGCACACCTCTCTTTGCCATCAAGTCGATCGCAGAAATCTGTCTCGACAAGCTAACATTAGCACGTACGGCGTAAACCAAAGATAGCGGGCAGTGCCAGTCTACTCAGATGTGCTAGTCATGGTCTGATGTTAACAATAAAAAACCCTTTGAAGGAGTATTGCTGCAAGTTAAAAGCCAAACTTAGAAATCCCAAAATACAAGACATCAAAATATATGCATTCGAAGTACATGTGCCCAGGTCTTGTACTCGAACCTGAGAGGTTTGAGCTTATGCACGGCTCGATAACAGAATAAGAATATGAAAGTTGTTTGTTTATATCAAGAAGCCCGACCGAAGTCACAATGGACTATTGAACCAGAGAGTTGTCATTTCAGTTGCATATCAAAGAGACTCCTTCGTGGGTACGATGGGAGTACTTTTCTGTTCAGTAACAAATAGCGAGTAATAGGATTGCAACGTCAGTCCAGCATGCTCGTCATGGTAGCAATATATAAATTTTCGCACGCACAGTGCATTTCACATTGCACACTTGGAACAAACAATACAAGTGGGCTCTGCTGCCAACTTCATTTCACATGCCACACTTGGAACATTAATACAATACAAATGGGCTCTGCTGCCAACTTCATTTCACATTCCACACTGGGAACATTAATACAATACAAATGGGCTCCGCTACCAACTTCGTATGTTCTCCTTTTTTTGTTTTTTTTAAATTTCTTCAAAAAACAAAAGGTGTTTTGTTTTTGGCTTTTTAATATTTTTATTAAAAAACATGAAAAGTAAGAAAAGTAAAGCCACACGCAAAGAAAAATGATGACTCTTCGTGTCATCATTATCATTCGCTGGAAGGAATTGCAGAAAGCCACAAATATTAAATAAAGAAAAATGGAACAAATGATGTGTGTGGCCGTGTGTCGTCGCCGCGAAGGTGTGCATAGCCTTCTAAAATACACACGGTGTGGGTATAAATAATACGTATTTATGTGCTATCTGCATCTGATGTCTTAAGTCTTAACGCTGTGCAACACCTGCGATCAGTCGGTAACACATACATATCAAAATACAAAAAGAAGCAAAGTCAGCCTTTAAACTCCAACCATCCGTATCGATATTTATGCTTTGTAGTTTTAGAGTCAGCTCCAGGTAAACGCGAGATCAGTAAGTGAAGCAGTTTGTACGTTTGCTTATAGTCCGTATCGACCAGGTGCGTGTAGTCACTCCGTCAGCAAGTATGTAGTCTTAAACTGTGTGCAAGTACCCGATACTCTTGATCTATTTTTAGCGCTTACTGTTGTCTGCTGGATATGTGGTCGATTTCCCCAAACACTCCGTCACTGAAAATATTGGTGGCGGTACGTATGAGCATGCAGCATGGTAAAGATGAGTGCACGTATAGTCAATTGCTACATAACTTCGAAAATGTTTTCAAATCAATTGACCTGGTGTACTCCGCAACCAGTTGTCGATATAAATAAATTCATACCCCTAGTGATACGTTGACATATATGTGCATCTGTACACATATGTGTAGTTCTGTGTTTTCGTGACCCGTTGACAAGTAATTTACGTTATGTATGCTAAACAAGCATGCTCATAGCAAAATGTCTAGTTTCGTACACATCGTGGTTATGCTCGTATAAAGATTGTGATAGTTCGTTGTTCATATTTCGGAAAGCTGTTCTATATTTTGAAATCGTACATAATAGTGTCCCGTCGAATATACAAACTTACCAATGGCTACCGTGCCACAGGTGTACAATATATATATATATATATATATATATATATATATATTATTATTATTATTATTATTATTATTATTTATTATTTTATTAG